CTGGGGAATTCTGGGAGTTGAAGTCCACTCATCTTAAAGTGGCCAAGTTTGGACAATACTGCATTAGGCTCTCCTAGGCCACCCTTCCCCAGCCTTTTGTTACATGCCAGATGATGGATTTCAGTTCCCACAATCTTCAGCTAAATGACAAACAACTATTCCCAATAAATGTTCTTTTCACAATGCACAGTTAAACAATGAAATCTGTAGTTTTCAGAGTGTAAACCTCTACACTCATACAGCTGTATATTCATAGGCCCCCTTCATAAATTCACACACACATATAATCTAAACATGTAGCTGCCAGGAAGGGGGGCATGTCCCACGGGCATCCTCCTATACCCCCCCTGCAAATTTAGAGGGCTAACAGTCCTATTAGTAATCATTGTCTGTCCATATTTAAAATATGCTTTCAAAAAACTGAGCAAGAAACAAGACATGTGAGCAATGAGTAATTTGGTCAAATTTCTTGGAACTGTTTTCTTTATTATATAATTTCCCAGTCTTTTTCCTCTGTATTTTACATTCTGAAAATCATATTGTGTTATTAAGTCGATTATATGCTTGCCTTTTTCTGTTTAATCAGTTTAATGTAACTAATGTTTAAAATGAAGACGGCTTATACCTCTGTTCCTAAGGTAGTCTTTTGCTCCTTCTAATTTTATTGTTGGCATTATCCTTACTGATCATGTTGTAGGTGCAGTGGGGCCCAATGGTTATTCTTGCATATAACGGAAGAATGGAAACCCATTTCAAACCACACAGTAATGGATCTCTTTTTCTTCCATCTTATCTATTTAGGACAATGAAGATTACACAGTCATTCTGGTTGTACAGTTTCTTCGAGTTGTCCTTTTAATGCTCAAGCATTTTTCTGTGCATGGCCTCATTAAAAAGGGAGATGCAACAAAGCTAGTAAATATTTGATATATATTAAGAAATAACTGGAGAAATTGCTTTGGCTGAACCACAGACTTGTAGCACGATGAAGTGCGTTTGGAAGAGTGAGTTTTGGCCTCTCATTGAATCCCAGCTCAATAAACAACTTGGCAGAGAATGCTGGCCCCAGCACTACTCAGTTCAGCTTTTCCTTTACATCATCATTATATCTGTGAAATTACATTTTCTTTCCTTGCAGATAGCTTCAGGTATACCTAAAACACCTAAATATGAGGCATGAGCTAGAAATTGAAATCGATACTGAGATCTATCTGGCACAGATATGATTTGAGAGAGCACTCCTAATTTATTTTTCTTCCTACATAGCACAACATGCTTTTCCAGTGCTATCTTTAGGGCATGAAGGAAGTCCCTCATAGATGCATGTAGCTTTTGACATCACTGTGAGCTGTCACTTCCGCTTGAATCCAAGCAGGCAGCCCAC